GCGCCACACTCATTGGGACAAGGCTGAAGAATATAAGTATTTTGGACACATTTTCATTTTGTTTACTCTTTATGGTTTCAGGGGAGCATTAGTGGTCACTGGCAACGTTACAGTGGACATGGACTTCATGAGAGTGGGTGTTGAGGTCAGCTACGAAACAGAGGCATCGCTAGACTTTATCACCACAGTCCAGTTTTCAGAATATCCCTTCCTGGTGTGCATGCAGATGGACAAAACCACCTTCCCCTTCAGGTATTGTACACATAAATATTTCAATTGCTCTGCGTTTTTAATGTTAAATCATCTTTTACAAAAACCTAATCATCTGTTCTTATTGTTTTGCTTTCAGTGAATCCCTCAGCAAGTATGAAAGCATCTCATCAGGGAAGAGCGTTGCATCACATAAGAGGAAGAAGCAACTCGTACCGGGCTCTGAATTCCCTCTTCACCAGGAAAACTCAAATATGTGCAAGAAGGTTTTTGACTCCAGCTGGTAAAAGACATACCATGAACAATCCAACAGTGTCACTCAACGAGTGTTTTTTCGCATACAGGGACAGCTATCACACCTCAGCCTCATGCAGTGAAAGTACCCAAGAGAAAAAAGTGGTGAATGTTTTTTTTAACAACACATGCAAAGTTTACATTCCTGTGAATATTTAAGTCATTTAAATTTTAAGTTTTGTTTTAAAAACAGGAATTCTTGCATTGTCTTTTTTCATAAATAGGATGTCTTTTTTATTTGATGGGTAATGCACAACATGAAAAAGTAACCCTGTCATAACCCCAACATAGTTACAGTAAAGATCTACATGTAAATATCACACTGGACACAGTGGATTAACTCTCCCCTATGAATAGAAACGCTCCTTTCTGTCAACATTCCTTTGTTTTTTAATTAAAAAAGTGTTTACCGAGGAGGAGAAACGTATTGTTTTATCACTGTATCACTGTTCACACACTTGAAATAACTTATTAAGCAGATTAATATCGATTAATTACATTTGTATAATCAGGTTAGTGATTTTTAATTGCACCTACAGAGACAATGTGTGTGCATCGTTTTTACTTTGTACTTGCAAGATTTGAGGTGAAAATCAAATCTCTAAAAGATAATCCATCAACACTTGAATATCTTTTTTTTACGTGGCTGTAATTGCTCTGTGTATCTGAAAACATCTGGGTCGTTTTGAAGACTTTTGAGCTGCTCTAAACTTGTATTTTCATATTTAGGGATCAGTTTGTTAGATTTATCATTGGCTGACAATAAACGTGCAGTGGAAACACTTTTCCTTTTGACTTGGTTTGTGTATTTAGATGCAACAAGAACATGTGTGAACAATGGGATTAACCCTCTGGGGCCCTGGGGAAACATGATGTGCTTGAAATTATTCATTTTGCCTTTAGAGTGGCATTCAATCAATTGTACATGTCATAGTCGGTGTATTTGTTATTGATACAGTCATATACAGTCTGAGAAATACAGCCACCATTAAGTCTGTTACAAAATGAGATCAACTCAGTTTGAAAGACACTATCAAGTCGGTCTCTGCTGCTTTAGTATTGAACCATGTTGATCCCCCATATAAACAGGACTCATCAGTTTACGGTGCTCATGGCAACTTCACATGCATAATTCAAAATATTTACCCCAGAGCCCCAGAGACTGGCGGGTTCTCCTATTCTGGGATACTATCCTATCCTGCCCTTGATTCACTGTGGGCTAATTAGATTGTGGACATTTTAATAAACAAGCATTTATTTAGGTATAAGCAATATGTAAAAAAGCTAAATACTACAACAGAGGATCTCAACATTAAGTGAAAACAAATGAGCTACCCAAAGGCCTATTATAATGTCATTTCCCTTTACAACCTTGTCGGTACCACTTCAGCGGCCTTCAGGCAGTGGGGAACCGTCAGAGGTCTAAACATTTTTTTTTTATATTTGTCATTAGTTATACCTTAATTACTTGATTTATTTGAATTAAGAAAAAATAGAACTGAATAAATAAACTCTTCCAACCGGCCTATTCAGTTTCTGTTGGAGTGTGAAGGGTTAAATGAAAGAAACCAATTTGGCCATCTCTGCTACTGGAAAGATAGGAGGTGATTGGTGGTCCAGCTCTAAATGCACTGAGGGCCCAGCAATATTAATCCAATGAGAGTAATGTCAAATGACAGTTAAATTGACCATCATATCTCCCCTCTCGCGAACTATATGAAATGTAAGAAAATCGTGGATTTTTTGAGAGGCCTTTTAATATCAGCAATTATACAATGTATAACTGGATGACAGGATCAACAAGTGTAGGCCAAAGTTTTTTTCAATGTAGGCCACTGTGCCGACTTTATTCATTCTGCCTAAAACCTTATGCCCAAATTAATCGTAATATATTTTAAATTAGCCACTGTGCCAGTTTGAACAAAATTGCCTGTTTGTGTTGCGTTCCAAAATGCAAGGATCGATGTTCATTGTCCATTGTTCATTGTTACTTAGCTGTGGGCGCCTTGTCAATGGCCTTGTGAGGTGTTCATAAACATGGTGATGTTTTGTGTGGTTGAAGTGCCTGTCATTCATGCGTTTTGAACCCCAGGCCGTTGTTTCAATATTCCGCTGAAGTACACGCAGCTTGTGTGATGATATGATTATGTTTTGCTTAATAAATTATTATTTCTTTGTAATAAACATTTCTCTCTCCATTGCATTGATAAGGCTCGACTATCCTACATGCACTGGTCCTTTAGGCAGCTCAGAGTAAATCATAACAGAGTAGCCTACCTGCCAGATATTGAATGGTGGGCTTTCAAGCACTTTTAAAGTTAGAGGCTCCAGAGCAGTTTCACAAACTTTGAGCTAATCTCCAATTTTTCCAATGAGACGCTAAAATAATATATAAAAAATGATAGCTGCTAAACAGCAGCATGCTAGGACTGTCATTGAGTTAGCTGACGTTGAACTAAAAGGACTGCTGTGCCTAAGTAGCCTGCAGCCTCAAAGAGAAACTATCATAGCAGGAAACATAATCCCAGTGTAGAAGTTCTCGCCTTCTGGTGGCATCTGGCAATCTGGTCATTGCAAAATGTGAAACTCTATAAATTACAGGAGTTTTATGTATTTTGTTAAGGTTTAACACAGTAGCATGCATTTGTGTCAGCAGTACTCTCTTAAGTAAACTAATAGCCCTCATTTGTGTTGACATTTGTGTCCAAAGAGACAGAATTTAACTAAGTACATTAAATGTAACACACACTTTTGGATCAAGGTGAGGCAATCAATCTTAACTTTTCTTGTGTCAAAGCTGTGACATCAGAGCCCCTCCTGGCATCCAAATACAACAACTGGGCCTCAATGTAGATTCTTTAGGAACCACCGAGAGCAGCTGGGGGCAAACCAGTGTCTGCCAGTCTCGCTGCATCCATGGCAACCGAGTAAACACAGCAGCAAGCTGTCAGGTTAAACTTAAGCCTCGGGCCGGGTGATGTTTCAGTGTCACCAGAAAGCTAACCTCCCACGCTGGTCAATGCCAAAAGTGTTTTTCTCTTTGCTAGGAGCTGTTTGATTCCCCTTTTGACCCTTGTCGTTTTTGTGTTTTTAGTGGTGAAACTTTATCAGCAAAGTATGAAACTGCAGGGAGCCACAACAATCAGGTCAGGGAGATGAAGGAAAATAAAATGTAAATATGGTCATTACAGAATATCCCAGAATCTAATGTGTACTTATGTTTGCAAACAATCTATCACACAGTCAAAGTATATAGTATTTATTCAATTAATGTATGATGATTGTCATAAATAAAAACTCCTTAGTTTGTAAAGTAGGCTGTTTGACCGGTCCAAGTTATTTTGTACAACCTGGCATTCCAAAGGCTATCCTAATAGTGGCTTTAACTGATTTTTGAGGCATTAATAACGTTTTGAAAAATGTATACTTAATCTATTCGTTAGAACTAAACACTTAACACGATTGCTTGATTAGACAGTACATTATATTTATTTGTGTCCCTATGCTGACTATTCCCTGCTGTAACACAAAGAAGAATTGTGATTTGAAATTTCATTCTGTTTTAATTTCACTAACAAAGTGTTTGTGTGGGTCTTTTTTATTGGTCTCAGTAGATTCAGACATCAGCAACATTTTTCAAACATAAATAGACCTTTAAGTGATTCAAATTCAAGGACATAAACATGTTCAGTGGCTCGATTTAGAATTTATTGCAAACATATGAAGGCTTGTCAGTCTACATTACACTCATTCATCATATTCATTACTTTCCAGCTTGTAAGTGCAAGCGCAGCACTCTCTTCTCCTTTCAAGGCATTTCTCCGCTGTCATCCTGACCTCTGTCTTTTCTGGGGCAGTCACAGTTGACATCAGGCATCTCATTGAAATACACGCCCTTTTTCTTTGAACATTCATAAATACACTTATCTCAGACCATCTCACCTTCCGTTAACGCTCTTTCTTTTTACAAAATCAAGCTTCGATACACTCGGTTCATAATATGTAACTGCAACGTCAGAAGGTTTTTCTTTTAAGGGACATCTGGAAGAATGATTTTAAACAAATTATATTATCTATGTTACAGTGCAACAATGTTTATTTTTACAATTAACAATTCCATATAGTACTCGTGCTATCACCAGTGTTTACAGCCATTCATGGCTGTAAGTATTGATGACCAAAGAGTGAGAATCCAAGTGCATTAAGTACATTATTATTCACAGACAAAGGTCTTAAAAGGAACTAATAGAATACATGTGGATTTTATGTTCATGACAACATATGATTAACTGGCTTACTGTAACTTACAAATTATAATAATTGTTTTTATGATAGTCTTCACAGGGTTTAAAAAGGATATGTGCTTTCAATAAATCACCTGAAATAAGAGAAAATGTGTTTTATCTTCCACATTTGGACAGCTTGCTCATCAAACACATACATTTAAAGGAGGTAGTATATCATATCTCTCAATTTAGATTTCTTCATAATTCCACTTTTTTCTTTTGCTTGGAAACTTGGCAACATTTCTGGTTGGACTTTTCTTAAAGAAAATTCTGCAAAACAGATTCATAATATCAAATTAAACGACTGTTTTATCTGCACTGCTCTCAACTGCCTCAGGCGCACATTCATTTAAAAGTATAATCAAATATACTTTCATTAAGAAGAAAATGTTTTATGATTTAAATGTACATTTTAAGTTACATTTCACCTCAAAATGCTTTATATGTTTTGACATCAACTTGCTCTAAAAAGCAAACCATGTCCAATCTACTGCACAGTCAACACATCTTTCAAATCACTGCATGAATTTATATAATAAAATCCACTCATAGGGCAATTTATATAAAGTCTGTTGTCACAGACGCATTAAAAACATGTATTTTACAGAATTAAGGTACATAGACTGACCAGCAGCTCCAAATACCTTTAATGTGTGTTTAGATTCGAAACATGCTAAAAAAATTACCAATCTACAAGGGATGCTGGTATAACTGGGTCTAGCAGAATGTCCTACTGCTTATTCAAAAGGAAACAAAAAGAACCCCAGAATCACTTTAAAGAAAGCATGAGTATGTTTGTCATCAGTTGATATGTCATTTAAATGAAAATACAAATTTCAACTAGAGGTCAAGGGTGTTAAAACAGAGAAACGGACATTGCTGTGTTTAAAGTGTAAAGACACACCCAACACATGTACAGTCTGTACGCTGCCGTCTACAGTGAAGTAACATGACTCCTTCTTGTACGCTCACAGAATACTGAAATGCCATACATAACTTACAGCCATGAACACGGACACATTCAGATGCACACGCACAAACTCCCGTCTCGTTACACAGAAAAGTGTAAAATGAACCAACACCAATAGAGGAAGTTATCCCCTATATGTTTCAGCTGGCTTTAGACCCAACGCTACTAAGGAAGTACTGTCCTAAGTAAACTGTTACAGTCTCAGCTCAGCTATATTCGAGCAACACACTTAATGTGTTTTTATAAAAAGATTCTCCAACATATTATTTAAAATATCAACAATCACTTCTTCATACAGCATATAAGTTGTGCAAGTATAAGCAGTATTTCGTGAGTTGTGACACAGAGGTTTCACATACTTCAAGTAGAACAGCAGCCACAAACTTTTATAAAAAAACATGGAAATGTTCAAGTGAATGTGGAAAATTAGTGTTGGAGAGTAGGATATTATACATAGCTACAGTATGTCAGATATGTTTTACCATTTAAGAGGGGCATCATTTAAATATATTATTTTGACTGAACTTTTGGTGATAATTACTTCTTAATCTGCATTTAAAATTCACTGCAAACCAATGGTCCCTTTCCTTAGAAAATGGTGTTCAATATTATAGGTTGTATCTACGTAAGTAAATATCAAATTATCAAATTAAAGCAAGACTATGTCACTTTTGATAAGTAGCGGCCACTGTGGCCACAAGAAGCAATGACAGGAACATGGCACATTGATTAAATATGTCTTCTGTTGATTGTTTTACAGACATCCAACCATTCATCAATCTAACCAACCATTTTCTACTGATTATCTTTTTTTTTGCCACCCTCCAAAGAAAACCCATTTCGGCCGTTTGAATACTCTATATTGTTCTTTTGGTATTGACACACCCTTAATGACCATAAGATTAGAAACGAAGAGAGGAGTAAAGACTTATAAGGACTTCAAGTCAGAGTAAACAGTCTATCTGTTTCCTGCTGAGATTCATTGCCTCGGATTAAGAGGTGCTAATCCTCCTCCCAGAGGCTTCATACTCGACTGCTAACTATTCCAATGAGAGCTGAATGTTGCAAACTTAAGATGCCATCAGAACCATGAGTATCACAAACGGGATAGATGGCAAACGCAGCCCTGACGGAGGCCGACCCCCATTGGAAACACGTTCTGATAAAGCCGGCAGAACCACCACATCAACAAAAAGCAGAGATCCAATCCTGAGGCCACATCTTGACCGTGTCTAGAATTCCTGTCAATGAATAAATGCCAACGCCATGTGACCAGTGACCTTCGTTAGCAAAGTCTTTCCCCGTTACTTATAACTCTGCCTCTTCAATGGATGATCTTTCGGTCAAGCTCAGGAGTTCTGAAAAGTGGTACTTCAACGGTCCAACAATATTGTTAGCCTTGGTTAGCAGTTGTAATCCATCGCTGAAAACAGCCTGGCCTAAACCCTGCTTCGCCCTCCAGAGATATCTGACAGTTTGGCAGAACCTCTATGAGGATAATATAAAATTGTTCTCCGTGGCCAACTCAGAATCCTCCCACAACGAAGCTCACAGAAGCCCCAGTCTTTTGAGCCCCCTGAAATCTGCCTTCACTATTCAGGGAGCCTTTGGCCATACAATCCCAAAACCTGTGCAGTCACTTTTGCAAAGGAGGTTTTCAACATGGTCCATGTTAACTCAATGTACGAAGCTTTTCCTGGGATGCAGAACAAATCTCTGGGAAGTACGAGTTGTAATGATACCCCCTTAATAATGGCTTTTTGTAATCAAGTTATTCATTGTGTTGGAGTAACCAATTGGGCAAAGAGCCTTGCTTTTTTTGGTAAAACAAAGAAAGTTTTATCTGTGACATCCTATTATGATATGTAACACAGCTCAAGTTATTAGCTAACATGGCCAATAGAGATGGTATGAGCCTATCCTGACTATAGTGCGTTCAGTAACATTGTATTTATTTCTCATGATTCCAACTTTTCATATTTAAGTGAAGGATATGTTCCGCCTTTAAAAAGTTACATAGTCTCGCTTTAAAGACATGGTAAAATTAAATTCATTATAACAAAATAGTGGCTTGGCCGAAAATAAAACAGATCTTTAGAAGAGGCCTGCCTTGTTTCCTTTTGAATAGACATGTTGCAGGGCCCAAACAGCATTTCAAAAGTTCTAGACAGCAGCTGAATGGAAAGTATTACAAAGCACATACATATAGCAACATGGCAGAGCATCAGCCAAGAGTACATGGCGTATTGCATTTACCCCTAAAAAGTGCTGCGATGCATACAGTTTCCAGAAATGTCTGCTTCAATGATAAACAACACAACATAGAGGGGATAGAAATGTTTGTGGCTGAAAGTTGTCCTGGGGAGTAGATCGCAGGTGGCTGGGGTGAAAACTGCCCTCACGATGAATGAAGGCAGATCGTTCGGTGTAGATGTCTAGAAGTGACATAAAAGAAGACATAAAAGGGTGTTAAAGTCAGAAGAATGCAATTAAAAGGTGGATTTACAGAGGAGGAAACATGAGTTAGTTTTGGTCCAGTTAATGATAAAAGTCCTTCAAAGCAATTGTACTTTTTCCGACTGTACTTCCTGGTTCTGAACCAGGTGACCAGATTCAGCCGATTCAATGCTGGGGGTACGCTACTCGATTTGTTTACGTAGGAGTGCTGGAGGTCAGAAGTGCTCTCCACCTCCTTCTCCCCCTTTAGGAAAAAGCAGAGGGGGAGGCGGCTATAAAAAGTTGACCCCATCTCAGCCCGGCAGACTCTCTTCCAAGCTGGAGCTGCAGCAGCATCTGATCTCTCCGAGCAGCTGTCCTCTCCCTGCATCAGCACAACACATACTTTACATTGCCTGACCTTTTCCTCCTGCATCACTATCCCAGCCATGCCCCTGCGTCCCACCGACGTAAACGCCCCCACTATCACCACCATTTACACAAGCATGCACGCACGCACCCATTGGCGTACGCGCGCACACACACACACACACACACACACACACACACACACACACACACACACACACACACACACACACACACACACACACTCACACACCCTGGTTTCACACCACTACTGAACCCCACACTAAGCCCCTGCCTGCCACGCACCCAGCTGACATGTATCTCTCATGCTCAGGCAGTTGTATTATTGCGCTGACACATTAGCTGAGAATGGACTGTGACTAATTGTAAATGTGAGGATATATGAGTGTGTATATGAACGAATTTTAACTTTATTTTGTTTGAAGAATACGAGAGAGAGAAATACTACTGTCTGTCTTTTTGTATTTCTTCCCACATGTCTGCATTTCTTTCTTTCTGTATTTTTGGCCTGCCTGTTTGTCCATTTAGAAAAAAAAACACTAATGCCTTCGAGTTCAGATAGATGGATCCCACATGTCTACTAGATAATTACAAATTACCAGCAGGGAGAATATGGCACATTATTCTCTATTATTAAACCTGATATGTCCCTTGTTTAAATAATTCAGAATTAAATTAAGTTCAAGGCTTTATTGTCATTTGCACATTAGCTACAGTGTAGCTATGTAAAAAAAAGGCTCTTCCAACAGTGCAACATATATATAGGACATAGAACAAATAAAACAGATATAGTGCAAGACAAGTAAATACAAATAAAGCTGTTTACTAACACAGTCTGTAGACTTATAGCCAGAATCAATCACACAACAGTATTGAACATAATTAATGTATTCATTAATGGTGATAAAACTACAGCTGTAAATATTTCCTTATTATTAACTAATACAGTTTTTCATATTGTTGTTTTGATTACTAGCACTATGCATGCAGTCACTAGCTTGAACCTTGAACCTTACTGGGAAACTTTAAAGAATATGATTAGGTAAACCTTTGCTTTTTCTGCTGCCTTTTGAGTTCTACCAGGATCTGGAACTAATAAACAAAACACATTGGGGGAGTACTAATTGCGGTGGTTAAATTGTGCGTAAATATATTCAAAATATGATTTTAGCATGTATCTTATCTCTGCTTGTGACAGTTAAAGACATTGAATAGCACAATTGTTCTTTCCAAATGTCACTTAACTTCTCTTGTGAACTATATATTAAAATGTGCATTATATGGTATAAGAGCAGTAGATATTTAAAACAAGAGATAAAACCCCATTAGACTGAAAAAAGTTTGGTGAATAGGCAAATGTGTTAGCATGCAGTCGGTAAGCATTGCACGTTAGCCAACTAGCATTGAGCCCAAGTCACAGCAGAGGCTGACAAAGTGCAGCTAAATGTCAAGCTGGAGCTGATGGATGTTGACACTGAAAAAGTACCGCTGAGCATGGCACGCCTAACTCAAGTAGCAAAGTGACCACGGTTACTGCGGTTTTTAGATTTCTAACACATACTGTAGTGCTTCTAATTAAGTGCAAACATTTTCCTGATTTGGAGTAGACACAAGTTTGAAACTGAAATGAAACATTGCTTTCAAGAGCAATTTCATAGTTATTCAAGATAATCAACATACTAAGCAATGATTTAAATTAAATCCCTGAATCAGAACAATTCTCAAAAAAATGTATCATCAGCAAAGTTTGTTCATTAACTTGAATAAAACTGATTTTTTAAGCTACATACTTTACAACTGTGGACCGTTAATGAGTCATCCATAGAAAAGCAAGGATGTTCCAACTCATTAAGCCAGGGGAAAGTTTTCATGAGATGTCACAAACACGGAACAAACACGTTATTGAGCTGCAATGCTATCCAAGTAATTAACTGATTCCTAACGCTGATTAAGAATAACTAAGGTGTCACTGACGGTAATACTTTCTTGTGACACTTAGAATAAAGCATGTAAACAAACTCGTCTCACACTATCAAAATAGCCCGACGATGTGTAATGCAGAGAAAAAGGAACTCAACCGACTCGCGCCGGGCCAAGGCTGAAAATCCCAGCATGCTCAGTGGAGTCAGGTTACCTGTCATGAAGCTACTGCATGTCTATTAACACTGACATGCCACTGCTGAAGCAGTCGAGCTGTACGGCCGATCAAGCATCATTTACAACATATAAAACTATAAAAACTCATGTTATACATCGGGATCTTTACGCAGGTTCACGCAACTGTGTGAGACCTGTGTGATTGGTGCAAAATGAGAGCAAATGGTTCAGCATCAAAATATCAATGTCTATCAATTTCACTGCCAATTAAGGGCATGGATTATTTATCAACAGGTGTAGAAACTGGACCAAATACAAATGTATGCTTATTTCTAGCTCCTTGTTCAAGCTCATAAGCAAAGTTCTGCTAAAAAATGCCAATTTTGGATGAATTAAAAGCAGAACCTTGTTTGATCTTTGTTATTGTGATAATTTTTCAATCAGAGACATTTTTAAATGGGACTACCTTTCTTTATCACACAGCAGTGATTAGTGCAGTCAATTTAATCTTTAGGTTTTAATGGATTCAGTTGATAGTAAGCTAGTGTGCATCACTACAGAAAATATGAGAAGAAATATAAAGGGAAATGTGAGTGTGTGCTCACTTGCTTACATGTATGATGCGATGTTTGGTCACCGATGCTCCACTACAAAGCTCATTGTTGTTCCATCAAAGGAGGGTGGTGCGATGATTCTTGGACCTTGTTGCGAAGTGATGCTGATAACTGGCTTCCTGTCGGAGCTAGCTGCGCTTCCTCTGGTGGTCACATATCCCAAACTTACAGGAAGCTGCAGTGGCACCTGTGATGCTCCCCCTGTTGCGCTGTAATACGCACTCTCTGCGCCTGATGGATTCATTTCTGGCATAGGTCTTTTTGCAAATATTACCTTTTCTGCACCTGCATACTCAGGGTGACATGGCGACTGTGGCAACACGGCCTGGGCTGTCAGAGTGGGCGAGGGGATGAAGCCTGGGTAGACCATGTAGGTGGGGGCGAATGCTCCTGGGTTCAGGGCCAGGGGGGACAGCGAGAGAGGCACCGGGCTGACAGGTGCCACAGGGGAATGGGACATGGGTACATCCACATATTGGCCTGTCTCAGGGTCGAATAGTCTCTTTGTGGTGGCCTGTATAGGAGTATCCACCAGGTAATAATGTCCAGTTGTGGGATCCAAAAGCATCTTGCGCTGGGTTTGGGGGAACGCCTCTCCTGTAGGGGACACAGTCGGGACAGATGGAGAAAAACACAACACCTGCTGCTGTGCTTGAGGCCCTGTTGTGGCTGCGTGGTGGTAGATGCTTGAAGTCGGGTACTCCATAATTAACGGAGATCTTTTCTGCTCGGCTGTCTTCCTGTCCTCTGTTTTGATTTGGCTTGAAACATGCTCTTGATTCAGCAATTTGATTTGATTCATATACCCCAGCCCCGGGATGGTTAAATAGTTCTCAGAGTCGGAGCAGGCCGGTGCGACAGTGGGATTAGTGGGAATGATTTTGACCTTTCCCTGCTCCACCTGGCCGCGTTTGGGAGGCTCTATTTTCACAGAGAATGGAGCCACTGGTGTCTTCGGGCTTTTCATTGTTGAGGATGTTTGCAGCGCAGAGCTCTGAGGAATAGGTTTTCTGACTGAACTTATGCTGAACTGTGCCTTATTGCCCAAATGAAGGACACGTTTGTTGCTAAATGTTTTATTTAGCTGTGGTTGTGTTTTAAACGTTTCATCGTCATATGGAACATGTATGATGTTCAGAGCTCCTTTATCTTCCTGAGACTGAGGAGTCATGTCAGTGATTGTCTCCAGCTCCTCGGCTCCATGCTCCTCCCTGGCAATAAGTGACATCACATGGCTGTCTCTGATTGTTTGTGGAGCTTGAGTTTTACGCTTCCACTCATTTCTGTCAAAAACATAAAGCTGCTCCATTGTTTTGACTGCAGCTTTAAGCTTCTCTAGTGCGGCCTGCTTTGGTATTTTAGGCTCATTTCTCCTTTCAGCCGTCTCACATGCTAACTTCTCCTGCCTCTGTTTTGTCAGTTTGGTTTCAATTTTTTGCTGATTGTCTATCTGGTCAGGGTGCTTTGATACAACAAGTGGCGCCCTACTGGCGGTGCAATGTGATGGTGTATTCTCCTCTGCTTGTGTCTGTGACACCTCAGCTGCTGGTTGTTTGACATTTGTTTTTACTGATTGACATTTAATCACAATAGGAGCTGGTAATACATGCTTAACTGGCTCCTTTGTGGCCTCAAGTCTATCAGCTGCTGCTGTTGAACATTTACTCTCAATATGATCTAATGAAACAAAGCGATAGGAACTTTTTACCAATTTACGGACATCTCTGACCTGATATATGGGGGTCTGAAACTTACATTTGGTATCTCTTATGTCTCTAACGGTAAAGTTGGGGATTTTGTCTGTAGCAGACACAACGTGACATTTGGCCTCATCTGCTGCCCTAAATGTGTTCATGGTGTTGAAACTTATTTTTGGGGTTAACATGTTGGCAATGTTCAGTGTACATCCTTTATTTTCTTTCACACTCCTCAGGCATATTTTTATCTCAGGGGTTTTTCCTCCCTTTATATTGTCTTCTTTGCCGTATCCACTATTGCCTGTGATAAACTCTTTTTCACATTTAAGTTGGCCAGCCAATGGGTCTATGACAGGTGGACGGCTTGACGAATCCTCTGTACAATCATTCTCTTTTGAAAGGAGCTGGCAGTTTGGAACAAAAAGGAGTTTTGTGAGCATGCTGCTGTTGTCTTGTCCTTTTTGTGTGTCTGTAGTAGGTGTGGGTTCAGCCTCATTCACAGGTTCTGTCTCATCTCTTAGTAGATTAAATGCACTACTCTCACTGTGGCCGAGCAATGCGTTTACAGGCCCCTGATGTCTCTTTTCTGAATCATCTGGGGGTTTGTTGCATTTCTCTAAAGGCTCACAGGAACAAGGTCTGCTGCCATCCAGGCTCTGATCATCAGCAGAAGTAACAGTGCAGTCTGAGCCTGAGTCAGATACCTGTCTTTGAAAGCATCTCCCATGACTTCTGTCTTTCATCCTGTCCTGGTCTTTGATTTGAAAACTTGGGGAGAGGGCTGGGTGTTTATCACGAAGTTCACCCCTCTCCATTTTGCACTCCTGCTCAGACTGCATCTTTTTAGAAAGCACATTGGTCAATAGACTTGATGCAAAAACTGCTCTTTTGTGTGTATCATTCGTGCTCTCTGTCTGATGATATTGTATTTCACACCCTGACCTGGCCAGGACAGTACCAGTAACCTCATTGGATCGTGCTTTTTTTGAACATTTTGGCCGTCTGTTGTTTTCGGGTGCGTTCACATTGCAGCGGAAATTCAGCATGACTCCACGCTGCTTTCGTTGAACAGGATCGTTTAGCTGGATATTTTTACTAGAAGAGGATGATTGCTCCGAAGCCGTTCTCTTGTTCGGCGCGTACACATTGGTTTGTTGAGCTTTCATGCCGGTAAAAGACTTACAATGCCTCTTACTGTCCACAGTCTTATTCATTTCCAAAGTTGAGCTGGAAGTCTTGTGCGCAATTACGCTTCGCCCTCGTCCCCGTGAAACATTTCCATAATTCCAGTCCACATAAGCTGACCACTTATTTAGCCCATATTCCGACATAGAAGACTCACTCGAGGTGCTAAGATTAATGGCGTCAAAGTACGGACATGCCAAGCTCCGGAAAGACTTGGCGGTTAGATTACGCACCTCTTTGTCAGCGTCGTCCAGCTCGCTGATGGAACTGGACGCTCCGCTGGAGTACTCATTAATATCTTTCCGTCCCAGTTTGGAAGCAAGGTGCTGACGGCCCGGAGCGGGGATGAAGGGCCCCACTCTGCCGCCAGAACTCACCAACGAGAGGTGGCTCCCGTCTCTGAAGTGTTTCGTGTTGTCAAAGACAGGTTCGTTCACAGCCCTGGAGGAAGTTTTAATTGATAAATGAATTTTCCCCATATTAGCGTCTCCACTGTGGTTTTTGAACACGCTTTCATCTGAGCTGGCACATTTGTCCGAGTCACAAAGATCACTATCATCCTGCTCGCTGCTGACAACTGCTCCTGACTGCACTTTCGGTTGGTTCCTGCCCCCCAGAATCAAAATCCCCTCCTGTGAATCATCACTTTCAAAAGACGCGTAATCCACAAAAGAATAGACAAGGTTATCGTCTTCAAAATCCCAACAGGTCCCTCGCCCCAGGTCGTAATCTACATCGTGGTCGAGCTCGGTGAGCTGGATTTCGTGCGTCGTGATATAGTGGGACTCGTCCTCCACTGCGTCGGAGCCGCACTGGTCGGAGAGACCCGCGCTCGTGCCATCATCAGACTCCGTCTTGCTGTTCAGATACATGTCGGTGTACTGGAGCTCATCGCTCTCACTGCGCACAGGTTCACTGCACTCACTGGGGTCGGCCTGGCGCTGATCCTCACTCTCCTGATCGGTGGTGGGAAGTTTGATTTCCATAGGCGGCACACCAAAAACAGGCTCGGGGACGGGGGGGTCCTCTAACTTCTCTCCAACTAAGTCATCTGAAATGATTTCACCCTCATCGTCGTGCTCCCCTTGCTTTGAATGCTCACATTTGATAACTGACAGCTGGTTTCCCTCGCCAGTGAAAGTCACTTTCACTGTTTTCGCCCCGTCCGGTTTCATGTCCAGGTCCACATAGTTAGACACCTCGCTGATTTGCTCCGTGGTGTCCTTATGCTTGTCCTCTGGGAGCAGCTTCCTGTGAAGTAAGGTGTCATCTCGGTAAGTGAGAGTTTCCTCCGCTGCTTCCATTTAGTCCGGTCTTACCGTCAGGTGGTCCTCGTTTACGATGTTACCGCGACACAGGACGGAAAACTCTGTAGGCTGCAGGGGCGAGGGGGACGGAGAGCGAGGAGGGTGAGTGGGGGAGAGAGGGGGAGAGAGAGCGAGAGAGAGAGAGAGAGAGTCCCGATGAAAATCCAACGATGATTTATCTCAGTTGTGAAGCTGTAAACCGTTTTCAAAAGTTTATAATCAATATTTTTTATAAATATCTATTGTACATGAAAAGCGAGGTCTTATGCAACTATCCTCCAAAAAGTGCTAAGATTCAGCACCATTACTAGAAGAACAGTTCCCCATATCAATTCCTCAAAACGGCTTAAACACATTTGAGAGACATTGTTGCATTTCTTAATAATAATAGGAAATGAAAATCCCCAAATGAGTTAATTCTTTGTAACACAACACTTTATTTAACATTTATAAGAAATTAAATCTGGTTTATAACCATATAAACAGTTTAAACTCGTATTGGTGAGTTTGACACACTGTTGTCATTTTGACATTTAACAATTAGCAATAATTCATGTATATCTGTTTTAGTTGCATTAATGCACTTACTGATGAAGGTATTAGTTTAGTTTTTCAATTGAGTTAGTCTACTATTTAGTATTGCAAAGGGTATTTGTGTGTTTCATAATACATAATAAAATAAGCTTAACATGACTGAATCTACTAATAATACAGTCAGTTAAATGGGCACAGGCACTTCATGGTGTGGATTATGACGCTTTAACAATACCTTCTATAAACTATTATACCACATGAAGTCATCTTGAATGCAACATCAAATGGTAAATATACCTAACTGCGGTATAAGTCACAAGGTGTTTAGTTGAGCCCAAACTGAAGGCTGGGTTTGAAAATGGTTGTGGTCCAAGTGACGGAACCAGAAATAGGGTATTGGGGAGTGGGGTACAGGCCATTGCCCCCCCCCCC